TAAAAGAATGAGACTGAAATACTTTGGAGGGGGTATCTGTAGGCGTATAAAATTGCCTATAGGTCCCTTAGCACAGCTCGACGCCGATTTAACAAACGGACCACCAGGCGACGTATCCAAACAAGACCGCCAACGCTGAAGCCAAGCTATACGCAACGGAGCAGGTTAACGAGGCGACAAATCGCACCCAAGCATTGGAATGCATCCACTCGCACGCGGAATCAAACCAATGTTTAGGTGAATCACCGAGTCATCTAAACAAGAGCGAACTCGGATGAATCACGATCAAATCAACATCAATTCCGGACTCAAATTCAGAAGTTGATTTACTGCCATATCAGGAACCCGACTCACTGCCAAATCTGGAATCAAGTCAAAGAGTCGTTGCCAAGTCAATCAACCACACAAGAGAACCAGAACCGGAAACAAAGGACGAAACGGACAAACACCCGGGGACTCGGCCGAAACCGAACCACCCCAGGGTGGCTCGGCCCAAGCCGAGCCACCCTGAGGTGGCTCGGTGGCCGAGCCACCCCAGGGTGGCTCGGCCAAGGCCGAGCCACCCTGAGGTGGCTCGGCCAAAGCCGAGCCACCCCAGGGTGGCTCGGCCAAGGCCGAGCCACCCTGAGGTGGCTCGGCCAAGGCCGAGCCACCCATGGGTGGCTAGGCTCAGAACTGTGCAAATGCACAGTTCTGAGTGCCTATAAATAGGCCTTGTGCTCATTTGTTTCAGAGGTTGGAAATTTTGGAGAGAGGCGAAGCCCTGCTGGATTGAAGACTCAGATTTAAAAAAAAAGATCACTACTTTGAAGGCTTGGAGACTTGGACTTTCAGATCCGGTGCTCGGCGATCACCACCGCCAAATAAGGCAGGAGTTCGAGAGGATTGGATTTGAGATCTACACGATCACACTCCGGATCTAAGCTTGGTTCTTAGATCCCGAGATTCGAGCGGTTGTTTCCTTGGTGAAACAATCCCTCCCGGCTATTATTCCCTTGGTGGAATATTACCCGTCATATCGTGTAGATCCGACCGGATCGAGATCACGCGGTGGTCCACGGTAAGCAACCCCGGCGCAGGCAAACAACCCACAGAAGCAAGAGACCGAATAACAGGATCTTGTGATTTGTTCGGTAAAAGAGAGAAGTTGTAATTTTGATTTCTTTGTTTTATTTTGATTTTCATTGTAAGCCGGATCTTATAAAAAGACCGGATCTCTTTGTAACACATAAAGTTGTTAACTGAGTGCAATGATATCAACAATGAAGAAAGCTACGATTTTCCCCGCGAACATTGATCATCGGAGGAACCACGGAGGAACTAGTCCCCGTCCTCTCACGAGTTTCTATATGTGCAGACTTTTCAACCACTCAACTCAGAACTGAATATTCAGGAAAGAAAGCTGCCCCCTCATCAACTTCACCCCCATCCAACCACGGATTTAATTGACTGTGTGATCAATTAACATCAACAGTTAGAATATAGTATCTCAAAAGATGCAGTTTATTGTTTATGTTGCTATCTTATGAGGCCAAAACTTGAAGAACAAGTGGGTGGTGATGCATTTATTGTTGAAGGATTTTCAAATTGGAAAAAAAAGTGAGGTTACAAGTTCATGTCGGTGGTCCAAATAGTTCTCATAATGAAGCTTGGAGGAAGTGTGAAGCACTAGTGAATCAAAAGCAACATATTGAGGTTGCCATTGTCATACAATTGGATCAAACTAAAAGGGATTATCGCATTCATTTAACGGCGACAATAGATTGTGTTCGGTTTCTTCTACATCAAGGGTTGGGCATTCCATAGTCAAACTTTCTTGAACTTCTTCATTTTCTTGCAGATTATAATGAGACCATTGACAAGGTCTTAAAAGGTACTCGTGGGAATTTGAAACTAGTAGCACCTAGTATTCAAAAAGATGTTGTAAATGTTGCAGCTAGTTTTACTACTACTATGATTATCAATGGTCTTGGAGATAACTTATTTGCAGTCTTAACTGATGAATCTCGTGATATATCTATCAAGAAGCAAATGGCCATTGTTTTGCATTATGTGAATGAAAAAGGATGTGTCGTTGAGTGTTTTCTTAGGTTTGTACATGTTTCTAACACGAATGTTCTATCACTTAAAGAAGCTTTGGAATCGGAATTTGAGAAATATGGTTTGAGCTTTTCAATATTGTAGGGTCAAGGTTACGATGGAGCTAGAAATATGCAAGGGGAGTTCAATGGACTCAAAAGTTTGATATTGAAAGAGAATGGATCCGCCTTTTACGTGCACTGTTTTGCGCATCAACTTCAATTAGCACTTGTCGTTGTTGCCAAAAAGCAAGTTGAAATTGCTTTGCTATTCAATTTGGTCACTAGTTTGTGTAATGTTGCATGTGCCTCTTGTAAGCATCGAGATATTCTTCAAGAAAAGCAAATTAGGAAGATAAAAGAAGTATCAAAAATGGGTGAAATACCTAGCGGACGTGGCTTGAATCAAGAAACTACTCTTAAAAGAGTCGGGGACACTCGTTGGGGCTCACACTATAGTACATTGCTTAATCTAATCGTCATTTTTTCTTCAGCGGCTGATATTCTTGTGATCATTGAGGAAGATGGTACAAGTTTAGAGCAAAGAGGTGAAGCTTGTGAGTTGTTGAGTTCTATCCAAACTTTTGAATTTGTCTTCAACTTGCATTTGATGAAGACCATACTTGGAGTTACTAATGAGTTGTCTCAAGCACTACAAAGAAAGGATCAAGACATTGTAAATGCTATGGCATTAGTTAAAGTATCAAAACGTCGACTACAATTACTGAGAGATGATGGATGGAGTTCTTTATTTGAGGAAGTTTGCTTATTTTGTGAGAAGAACAATATCATTGTCGTTAAAATGGATGAGATATTTGTTTCTCAAGGAAGGTCGAGGCGTAGAGTTGAGCAAGTTACAAACTAGCACCATTTTCAAGTTCAAATATTCTATCAACTCATCGACATGCAACTCCAAGAACTAAATAATCGGTTCACATAGTCAAATACTGAATTGCTCCTTTGTATAGCATGCTTGAGCCTGCATGATTCACTTGTTGCTTTTGATAAACAAAAACTTATCCGGCTCGCCCACTTCTATCCTTCAGAATTCTCCTTATTTGATATTATGGCACTTGATGGGCAACTTAAGAATTACATTATAGATGTGCAATTAGTTGAGGGATTTTTAAATCTAAAAGGAATTGGTGATCTTTCTGCAAAGTTGGTAGAGACAAAAAAGCATGTTGTACATCATTTAGTATATCTTCTTTTGAAGTTATCTTTGATACTACCAATTACTACTGCGTCCGTGGAAAAAAACATTCTCTGCAATGAATATAGTGAAGAATCGAATGCGCAATAGCATGGGCGATGACTGGCTGAATGATTGTTTAGTCAATTATATTGAGAGAGAGATATTTGATAACATTGATAATGAGAAAATCATATAATATTATCAAAATATGAGAACGTGAAGGGAACAATTGTAAATTTTTTTAACAATATACTTCTATTGACTATTTTTGTTTGTGTACATACATGTCGGCTTTATTTTGGTGTTATTAATACTTAGTTAAAGTATCATATACTTATTTATAGCTAGTGATCTTGCCCCAACTAACAAAATTTACTGGATCCGCCCGTGTGTGTGTGTATCTGTGTCCTCATATCGTACATTTTACAATTTTATCGTGCCCCTACCCATACATGCACCCGTACCGATAGCCGCACCCGTTTTCATGCAACTTAGGCTCCAACTATTAGTTTGAGAGTCTTCCATTTATTCCAATTCAATCCTACAGACCAAGTTCCCTTCAACTAATGAGGGGAGATGCAGAGGAACTTCCTGTAAATCAAATCAACATGATCAGGGGCATTGCAGATAAAGCAAGTTGGTCAAAACATTTTCCCTTCCCAAATCCATCCAGAGTTTTAGATAGTTGATTCATGATTAATAAGTAAATTAGAAACAACAACTACAAATGCGTTTATTCCAAATTTTTCGTGCCAGATATATGAAATATTGTTCTTCTTCCATTCCGTCATGTTAAGAGATATCTCCTCCACTATATTACTATATTAACCAATATTGTATCCTTCTTAATTGCTTCCGACGAAGTTCTGTGAATCTTGCCTCCACTACTACTTGCTCCATTAAGTATAATTTAATCACTACTCTTAATCAGTGTATTTATTGGTTTTGGACCTTTTGGTTGCACATTGTTCAACCCCTAACAACAAATTCTCTCATGTTATCTTCAATAAGAAGCAACCTCTAACTTATTCATCTTGTTCGAGTCATGTTCTACCCTTAATTGCTAGATGCATATTCAACTAGTTCAACTAACTTTGTTGTTGTTTGGTAGCTTGGTTATTTAAGTGCAAACTTAGCTTACGAAGCTGGGGTAATTCTGACTGTTGTCTAAGATACATAAGTCCTCATTGTTGCTTGGAATTTTTTAAGCAATCTTCCCTTGTGAACTGTGAAATCTTAATTCTGCAGGCATTAAATATTCTTTCATGTTACCTTCAACATTTTTATTTTCAATTTTCCTTCACGCTTTTTTGTTCCATATTAGATGATTAAAGCATCTTTATCATATCCTATCAGTCTAAAGCATCCTTACAACCAACCATAATATCTGAAACCTGAATATTCCATGTTATTTTGAGTAAAAAAGTTAGTCCGCTATTGAAACGAATATGGGCTACTTTGCATCATAGAAACATCATGCCAGTAGTGTCAGAAGCTTTCATAGTTATGACTGAAGTACAATTTTCTATAAAGGTGAGGCACCCATAATTAAGTTAAATAAGGTGTTATTATACAGGGTAGCTACATAATCAATATATTAAAAATTCTCTACTTTAGCCTTTAATTCACTTCATAGATTAAAAAACCTAGTCTAACTCTCCAATTTCGCTGATATTTATCGTAAAAATAAAATTGAAGAAAACACTTGCAAGGTTAAATTTACAAACCTGACATCAGAAACATAAAAGTAAGTGTGATATGCAAATGTAAACGAAAATGGCTTCCCATCTGCATTGGTATTTCTAATGCGTGATATAAGTATCAGGTCTCCTCCTGGTGTCAGAGAAATCCTTAAACGAAATTCATAGCTGCAAGACAAATTGGACATAGCGTTAGACTTGAGTTTATCAAAAAGTCTTTTCCAAGATGAGTAACACAAACATTGAGATGTTATATACTACTAAGATTTAGATGATATGACATACTTGAAATCAATAATATGACAGTAAAAGTGTACAATAGTTGTGTTATAGGCTTATAGCTTCCACATGCATTTGATCCTCGTGCTTACTACAGTTGAGGATGAGATACAAATGACTATCTAGCAGTGTTTTAAATGTCGACCGATATGTCAGATTTAGGGGCCAGCCGATACGATATGGAGCTTTTCAATGTGCATTGCGTTTTTAGAGTTCATATCGGATATATCGGGAGACGTGTCGGATATATCGGACGGATATGTCGGGAATAGGAATTTTGAGAGAGAGAACTTGAATCAGGAAAAAAGCTGCTTTCTTCATTAACCTTTTACTTATATAATGTGTTACATTTTACATCCAAGCCCTTATCTTTCTATAAACTACATATTTCAACACTCCCCCTCAAGATGGGCAAAAGATATCCATCAAGCCCATCTTGTCACATAACCTAGCTAGATCTATTGAGCTAAGTCCTTTGGTGAGGCAATCAGCTACTTGATCTTTAGTAGCTACATGACTTAGCTCCAATAGCCCACTATTCAGCTTTTCTTTTATGAAGAACCTATCAATCTCCACGTGCTTGGTTCTGTCATGCTGCACCGGATTGTTGGCAATGCTGATTGCGGACTTGTTGTCACACCACAACTTCATTTGAGCCCCTTGGTCCATCTTGAGCTCTCCCAATAGAGTCTTCAACCATAACATCTCGGCAACTCCTAAGGCCATGGCCCTATACTCTGCTTCTGCCGTAGATCTCGCAACAACAGACTGCTTCTTGCTCTTCTAAGAGACCAAGTTACCCCCTACAAACATGCAGTAACCCGATGTGAACTTCCTGTCATCGGCACAACTAGCCCAATCAGAGTCACAATAGCCCTCAATGTTCAAGTGCTCATTCTGCCTGAATATCAATCCCTTCCCAGGTGCACTCTTCAGGTACCTCAAGATCTGATACACTGCATCCATATGGCTCTTCCTAGGGTCATGCATGTAGCGGCTCACCACGCTCACTGCAAATGAAATATCGGGACGCGTATGACTCAGATAGTCTCTAGTACCTCTCTCGGTCGACCTGTTCTCCTGCCTCTGCACTCAACTTGGACTTCTGATCAATTGGAGAAGCAGCAGGCTTGCACCCCAACATCCCTGTTTCTGTGAGCAAGTCTAAGACATATTTCCTTTGAGATAGGACAATCCCCTCTGCTCCACGAGCCACCTCAATCCCAAGGAAATATCTAAGCTGTCCTAGATCCTTTACCTCGAACTCCTTCCCCAACTTTACCTCCAGCTGTGCAATTTCCCCTTCATCATCTCCAGTAATGATCATGTCATCTACGTACACAGCAAGCATGGAAATGTGGTCACCCTGTTGCCGATAAAACACCGTGTGGTCGGCATTGATCTGCTTGTAGCCTAGGCACACCATGGCCTTTCTGAATCTATCAAACCATGCACGAGGAGACTGTTTCAGCCCATACAGCGACTTCTTGAGCCTGCACACCTTACCAACCGTCTGGTTTGTGCCAAAACCCGGTGGGACCTCCATATACACCTCCTCCAACAAATCACCATGAAGGAAAGCGTTCTTCACATTAAGTTGGTGTAACTTCCACACACCATTCGCTGCTAGGGAAATCAGTGTCCTTACTGTGCTCATCTTTGCCACGGGTGTAAAAGTCTCATCATAATCAATACCATAGGTCTGACTGTACCCCTTTGCCACCAACCGAGCCTTGTAGCGCTCAATCAGACCCTCTGGATTCTGTTTCACTGTGAAGACCCACTTGCATCCGACAGCCTTCTTGCCTGGTGGTAGTAACACAAGCTCCCAAGTGTTGTTTTTGTCGAGGGCACCGAGCTCTTCTAGCATGGCTGCCTTCCACTTCGGATCTCCCTTAGCAACCTGCCAACACTTAGGGATAGAGACAGTGTCTAATGATGCAATGAATACTCCATGTACAGGTGATATGTGTGAGTAAGAGACAAACTGAGCAATATCATGTGAGAAACCATATCGGTCAGGAGAGAAACCATATCGGTCAGGAGGAATACCCGCATTCCCGCGAGTAGTCCGCCTTACCAATAGGGGGGTGGAAGGAGTAGAGGGAGGAATCATATCACCTGTGTATTCTGAGTCTGAAGTGGATGGTGTAGGTGTCTCAAGAGTCGGAGAAGGCAGAGACAAGGGACTTGGCACTGGTGGCACTGTGGGCACGGCTCCCTCAATCTGCTTATTTCTCCTCACATACACCTCACGGTATCTCGACTCCCCCTGAGTCAAAGTTCTACCACCTTCGAGCTCATTCCTCTCCGCTTCCGGCTCAACCCTAGCTGATTCCTCCTTTTCCGGCTCAACCACAGCCGAAATCTCAAATGGGCAAGAAATACCACACACACTCACCATCCTCCTACTCTCCCCCTCTCGCCTCATACCTTCTGTATCGGGCAAGTCTCCAAAGGGTGATGTAGCCTCTGAGTAGTATGGTTCGAACTCGCGAAATGTAACATCCATACTCACAAACAGTCTCCTCTCCACAGGACTCCAGCACACATACCCCTTTTTAGTAGCTGAGTACCCCACAAAGATACACTTCACAGCCCTCGGATCTAGTTTTCCCACATTTGGTCTGTTGTCCTGCACGAAGCACACACACCCAAAGTTTTTGAGAGGAAGAATATCTCCATTCTTACCTTTCAACATCTCAATCGGAGACTTCCAGTCTAACACCCGTGATGGCATCCGGTTGATCAAATAGGCGGCTGTCAGAACTGCTTGCCCCCACAAGTACTTTGGGACTTTCATCGAAATCATCATACTCCGAGTCACCTCAAGGAGATGTCTGTTCTTTCTTTCTGCTACCCCATTCTGCTCTGGTGTGTATGTACATGTTGTTTGATGATGTATCCCCTGAGATGACAAGTACTCCCCAAACATCCTATTGGTGTATTCTGTCCCATTATCAGACCTTAATACTTTCACAACTGCACCATATTGAGTCTGAACTCCTTTATGGAAGTCCTTGAAGCAAGCAAACACATCACTTTTGTTTTTCATCAAATAAAGCCACGTCACACGAAAAAACAATCAATAAAAGAGACAAAATATCTAAATCCATTCACAGCAGTTGTGGGACAAGGCCCCCATACATCAGAGTGAATCAACTCAAAAACACTAGAACTCCTACTACCAGAACTAACATAAGAGCTCCTAGTGTGCTTTCCCAACTCACATGCATCACACACGAGTTTTTCCTTATTAGCCTTTTCAAACAAAGACGGATACAACCTACTCAAAACCGGAAAAGAATGATGACCCAAGCGCCTATGATGGAGCAGCAACAAGTCCTCCACACTCCTCCCAGCTCCTCCAGCTCCCTCCACAATAGATGAGAGGGCCAAATCCATACCCTCTCTATCTAGGTACCACAAACCACTATGCCATGTGTCAGTCCCAAGTTGCCTGCCTGTCCCCTTCTCTTGGAAGATCATCTTAGGAATATCAAACAAAACGACACATTTTAGTTGTGATATAATGGCACTTATGGATAAGAGATTTACAGGAAAAGAAGGAGCATGCAAGACATTAGACAAAGTCAAAGTGTTAGTACATTGCACTGTGCCCTTACCAACCACGGGCTGGGCCGTACCGTCAGCTGTCTGAATGCTCTCTGGTACTGCTAGGTGAGTATAGGAAGAAAACTCCCTAGCAGCACCAGTCACATGACGAGATGCACCAGAATCGACTATCCAATCTGGTGATCTAGTGGTGGATATAGAGGCAAGAGCAAGTGTATCACAAGTACCTGTAGCTGAGTGAGCAAAGGAAGCAAGGTTACCCCTGGATGAAGACGAGGTGGATGCATCATCTACCCCACTCTTCCCCTCACTTGCTGCTTTCTGCTTCCTCTTCAATACCTCCAAAAACTCATGATCCTCTTCTGTAAAGACCACGAACTCCTCACTCTCTCCCTCTGCTATCATCAAATGTGCTTGGTAGCCTCCTCTTCCACCTCTCCTACCACCTCTGCCTCGACCACGACCCCCTGCATGCCCCCTTCCACCTGTATCTCGCTCCTTTGGTAGCTTAGGGCAAGCTTGCTTCAGGTGACCTACCTCACCACAGTTGTAGCACTGTCGGGTCTCGCCCCTGTACCCTGTGGTACCTGAGTTGGAGACTGCAAGTGCTGACTTCACCCCTGGGAGTCCAGCTGCCCCAGCCTGGAGCCTAATCCGGCTCTCCTCCTGTATCATGGCTGAGACCGCTTCCTCAAGTGAGGGAATCCTCGTCTGAGCCAGTAGCACAGCAACCCTCTGCTCAAACATTGGGGCCAGACCCTGGAGGAACACCATAACCCTATCCTCCATCTCAATCTCAGAACATATAGGATCAGTGCAGCATCGTCGTCGGACCCTAAAGTGGCCCTGATCTAGCCATAAGCGATCCAGTTCTATAGCATACTCCTGCACAGTCTTCTCCCCCTGTACCAAAGCCGAGATCTCCCTCTTGATCTGGTACACCCGCAGGTTGTTCCCAGCACCATCGTAGGTCCTCCTCAGCTTTTCCCAGACATCCTTGATCTGGTACACCCGCAGGTTGTTCCCAGCACCATCGTAGGTCCTCCTCAGCTTTTCCCAGACATCTTGTACCTTTGCTATGCCATCCACTGTGGATGCAATACCCGAAGTCAGTGAGCTCAGGAGCCAAATATATACCTGCATGTGAGTTGACTTCCACTCAGCTCTCTCAGGTGCATTCTGACTCGGCTCCTCCTTCTCTCCAGTCAAGTACCCCTCCAGACCCTTCCCTTCCAGAGTGTACCTCACCAGACGCGACCAGCTTAGATAAGTGGCTGGACCCTCGAGTTTCATTTCAATCGGTGGCAACTCAATCTTCTGCTTTAGCTTGCTCTCACTCGCTGACATCTTGAATGCTCGCATCAGAACCACGACATCATCAGGATTCAGCTTTGACATCACCTCGGCCAGAGGATTTGTGCTGCCACTCCCCTCCTCCTTCTCGGTCGTCATTGATCTGACTCCGATCTACGCCTCGAGTATCGATCTAAGTCTAGATCCACATCACCTCTAACCTCTTCATCTTCCTTCTAACCCGATCTAGATCTTATCTCATCAAGATTCGAGTTAAACAAAAAAAAACTACAGAACCCGATCAAAAACCCAATCCAAACCCGCTGCTCAGGTATCGTGGGTGGAGGCCGGACGATCTCTGTCCCTAAATTTCTAGGGTTTTAAGAATCCCAAAAACACTCTCAAATCAAAACCCTAACCTGTTGATGGCCGGAGACTGAAGCAGTGGTGGCCGGAGACTG